TGAGGTTTTTAGAAGAAAAAAACGAACAATTGTCCTTTCTACAAACACTACAAACTAAATATTAACTCTGAGTAACAAAATAAATGAAAAAACTAAAAACTGTATTAATGCCACACTCAGTCTTCGCATTCACTGCTGTTATCATCGTTGTCGACTGTGTTATCAGGACTGTCAGGTGCTATGGTCTTCTGGTCTTTTATCAAGTTATCATAAAATTTTCTATTGCTGTGGTCATGTAAAAGAGGTAGAAGCTTTTCTAGAGTGTCCAATTTTGTTTTCTTAATTGGTAAGTTATGCACATGTGACTTTCTTAGACGAAACGGAGTGGACTTGTGATGTTTTTAGAAGAACAAGCTAAATTTCATATTTAATTATTATGGAACCTATGACATTTTTACGAGAAACACTTATTTGTATACGTATATATGGAGGTTAGGAAACAGTTGGTGCTAATATCTAAATTTTGGCGATATTGAACTAATGATGTTTTTCCGAGAAACGCCTCAATTGTAGTGGTAAGGTTTTATAAGAGAACTGAAGTATCCAATTGTCCTGAAGGTGTTATTGTGGTTGTATAGGTTTAATTTTATAGTGGTTGTCAATAAAATGACTCGGTAGGCGTCTTTTGTCGTAAAATGTTTTCGTGGCCTGTAAATCCTGCAATTAAGTGGCGCTTATCACAACATTAGAGCAGGAAATCGCGGTGTGCTTGGCCGTCCGATAAACCATCGACTCAGCGGGAAACCGAACTGAAAGGAAAAGGAACAAGGAAAACAGTATTCCTACCGGAATTATTAATACGCTACTGTAAGCACCGTGCGACAAGATACAGTGTAAACTCTATAACGAAACTGTTTCCTTTCGTTATAAATTTTGTAATTTTATTTCTAAAATCTCTATTATTCTGTGGTCCGGCTGTGAACAGTTTCAATCATAATTTAATTATATGTACAGGGTGATCCCCTATAATGTCGCCCCCCTTTAACTTTTTTATTTTAAGTGTCCCAAAAAATTTAAAAGTGTGGTTATGTAGGTACTAAAAAATACTTTTTTTCTACGTATTAAAAAAAATGAAAAATTGACCAATATACAGGGAAAAACAAAAAGTTTATTTTTTTTCAATGGATCACCCTATATATGAATTTATTTTTCGATTCCTTGTAAAATTCTGAGCATAATTCATATAACAAACCATATCCTAAATTCAACTGTTTCTGAAATATTCGCATTCGAAATGTTATCATTAAATGTTTTTTTAATCTGTTAGAAATCAAGAAGTCTCAGTATACCAAAATTTTTATTGAAAATAAATTATTATAGTGACATTATGTCAATATGTCTTGTTAAATAAGTAAAAATGGCCTACTCAGACAGAGAAAGACAAACTATTTCAACTTATTATCTTAAAAATAATTTAAATATTTCAGAAACGGTTGAATTTAGGTATATGGTATGTTATATGAAATATGCTTAGAATTTTACAAGGAATTGAAAAATAAATACATATATAGGGTGATCCATTGAAAAAAAATAAACTTTTTGTTTTTCCCTGTATACTGATCAATTTTCCAATTTTCTTTATACGTAGAAAAAAAGTATTTTTTTGTACCTACATAACCACACTTTCAAATTTTTTCGGACACTTAAAATAAAAAAGTTAAAGGGGGGCGACATTATAGGGGATCACCCTGTACATGGCAAAAAACTACATTTATGACCGCATATTAATTGTGCAGATTTTTTTCTGGAAATGATAACTAGTCGATGTAACCAAGAAAAAAACTTGATTATTTCATAGCGAAGTTATAAAAAAATTGAATTGTTTATTTTATAGACAACAGAATATGAAAATAAGTAAATATTAGTATATTAAAGAACTAATGTCATAAAACGTCATTTTGTCGCTCCTTCGTCGCTCGTTTTATAAATTGTCCGCGTGCGACAAAAGGTCTTATGATACACTGAAAAAAATAAGCTGTTGAAACAACAAAAAAAATATTAATTCAACTCTTTATGCACTTTAAATACAAGCAATGGTTTTTGCACGTTTACTTAACCATCTAAAAATGTCAAATTGTATTGTTTAATTGAACAACAAATAACAGTCAAATGAACTAAATAAGAATATTTGTTCTAATCTGCTAATTTGGTTAATTTAACATTCTTAGGGTGTTAAGGTAAATTTCTTGAAATGTCCAGGTAACCTTTTTAGCATATTCACTTAACACCAATAAAATAATAAATTAACATTCTGAAAATGTAAAATTCTTTAAAGGTTGGTATCCAAAACAAAATTATGGAAATAATATATTATTATATATACGTAAATAGAAAGAATTGAACCTTCACCTCGCCCAGAGTTTTTGTTTTGAGCGTGTTCCACCCGTGATACATCTTTGTATCATGTGTTCCACCTACTTCAAATACCGACAGACTGTTTCGCCCTGTATTAAGGGTCTTAACAGTGTCGGGCAATATGGTGTAGTGAAAGTTCTACTGTGGAACACACCTTAAACAAACAGATATCTCATCTTATATACACCTAATCGTAAGCTAACTAAGGCGAGATGTAAGAAAACGTCATTGTCTAATGACGTGGCGTGAGTGTTCGAAGCGCCATTCTCGGCAATTTTATGAATGCAAATTTTACATTTTAAATTTTAAAGTAACATTTTAAATTTGTTAAATGAACAAATTTAAAGTTTTGGATTAAAGAGCAACTAAACGTTAATTTAATAGTTTTTTTAGGTAATCCTAAAAATTTCAGTAGTTGATTCAACAAATTCCAGCTATTAAATCAAAGTACGATAAACATTTTAATTCAAAATATTAGTTTATGTTAAATTAATATTTAAACTGTCAAATGAACAAATAAACTTTGACAAACTCTGACTTTTGCTTTAACACCAAAATATAGATTAATCCAATAGGTTTATTGTTGAAACAACATTTTTAAAAATGACATTTAGGCAAATGTTAACTCAACTACATTATTTTTTTCGGTGTATGAGTTATTTATGCTATTTTGTCTATTTTGCAGAAATTTTATAAAAAAAATATATTTTATACCTTAAATTTAATTTTGTCGAATTTTACTTTAGATAGTTGGTATCACAGTCATTGGTTTGACGGTTAATGTCAAAATCGATTCGCCATGCCGTCCTTAATTTAATATTTACAATAAGCGGCTGTTAATGTTAAAGAAGAAAAAAAGGATTTTCCTTGGTGTTAAACAAAATTTATTGCTCGTAAGTACTAGAAAAATCATAAAAATATTATAACCAATATGCAAAATATTATGCTGTTTAAAGTATAGCTAACCCATAAAATCAAAATTTTGGGTGGGATAAAGTATCTCATTACAGCACCGAAAGCGGTGATATAATGAAGTCATTATGAACGCATTCAATTAATTAATTAATTTAATTAATTTTTTTTGGAACAAAGGATTTTTTTTTCAATTAAAATAATGTTAAGTTGTTGTTTTTATTAAAACGTGTATATTTTCTCAAAAAAGACAATTTTTCAAGGCCTGGAAAAAAACGGAAAAAACTTTTTCCGATTTTTTTTTCAACACTTTAATATAGGAGTATACGAGGTGTGTTCAGAAAATAACGGGAATTTATAAATTTCGCGGGTTCGGAGAGTCCGGTTGTCATAAAATTTTCTTTTTTATGTTGATATACATGCCCCTAAAGTATGATAAAAACTTTAGCTGTTTTAATTGTTAACTTTGTCTGTAGCAGCTGCTAAAGTTAGACTAGGTTTTATAAGCTCGGCGATTTTTGTTCGTTAAAAGAAATGGATCAAAGAATTTGTATCAAATTTTGCGAAAAACATGAAGTTAAAGTGTGTGAAAAGGCATATGGTGAATATGATATGAGTAAAACAAGAGTTTACTAGTGGTATAAGCGTTTCCAAAAGGCCGTGAAGTCGTTGAAGATGACGAACGCCACGAACTTCCAAGCACATCAGCATCCGATAAAAACGTGAAAAAAGTGGAAGAAATGGTAATGAACGATCGTCAAATCACAATCAGAGAAGTCGCTGATGATGTTGGCATATCGATTGGCTCAGGCGACAACATTAATGTAGACAAATAAATAAATATTTTTTTCAAAAAACGAAAATTCCCGTTATTTTCTGAACACACCTCGTATGTCAGCTAATATTTGTTTACGAAAAAAGCACACTACCTCCTTAAAACCTATGGCAGGTTTTATGACAGCTGTAAGGTAGGTTTTATGGCTGCTGTAAGTTGCTTTTAGGCTGCGATAGGATTCTCCTTTTTAGCCCTATGATGGTTTTATCGAAGCTGCTGTTAAAGCAAATATATTTGCTTTAAGAGGACCTATAGGTTTTAACTAAGTAATGCAAATTACCGTCAAGAGTAGTTTTATGGAGCCCTTGTATACCTTAAAAAAATCTATTTTGCTACATGGGTATTGACAACTTCGTACTGTACAAAACTTTTTACGTTTAACTTATTTCCGCCATGGTGCGGTACTCGAGCTAAAGAACAGAACAAAACGAACATTTTCATAAAAACATAATATATACATACCATATTTATGGTTCTATAATTACTAAGAGAATGTTCAGTTTAATGGAAAAAAGAGAGAAATTCACTTAATCTTGTCACTAATTTGACAAACTTTTGGCCATTAATGGAAACGATATTATTAATAGTGGGAACAAACCTTAAATACTCTTAAAGTTGGGTATAACCATTATTTCGATTAAAAGTTGGAGTAACCTATGTTCGTCCAAAATGTATGATAATGTCTGAATAAATTTTTTTTTTTTACCTCCCGCATTTCGATTTTGAATTCTGGCGGAAATAACTTAGTGCCCCTACAGATTTAATATTTTTTAGATATTATTGATAAGAAAAATCAAAAAAAAAGTGTAAATTGTAGCACTGTGCGCTTGTGGGAGTAGTGCGCATGCGTCTGTCGCCTTCACCGCACACATCCGCCTTCTCTGTCCAGCATTGGCGTGCGGACGGCAGTAGAGAGAGCCGGGCCATCGACTCGACAGCGCATACACGCACCTCATACATCTGTTGCACCTAAATATACTCTCTCTGCCGATAGAGATACACCTGACTATTGACATTCGACCGCCAGTGCGCTCCGCGTCGTTGCATGTAGCCGCATTGTCGTTACCGTTTCGAGCCCCGTTGAAACAGCAAAAGTTTCGCCATGGCTGACGAGCTAAACGAGGACGGCGGCGAATTCAACACCGCCAAGTTCGGGCTTCGTTTGCGGGGCCGCAAGGGCGCGCTCAAGAAGAAGAACGTTTACAACATCAAAGACCACAGATTCATCCCCAGGTTCTTTAAACAGCCCACGTTTTGCTCGCACTGCAAGGATTTCATTTGGTAAGTGCACCAGCTACCAGCTCCAACGCGCGGATACGAAGGTTTCACTCAAGATAATTGATTTTCGGCGCGTTTTGTTCCTGCCATTCATAAAACAACAATGCCGCGCTCCATAGGTGGCTGTTTAGTTCTGTTTGTTTCTACCTACACACAATGATTCACCTTACATTTCCTACATACACAATACATCTCAATTTTTTCATGAAAATGTTTCATTTTGGTTTTGGCGGGTAAATTATTTATAATTACGCAACTTTTCTCTAATTTAACCAACCTTGTAGATCTTTAAATAAAAAAGATACCCAAATTTTTCAATTGAATCACTGTGGGAGACTTCTTCCTTGTCCACGAATATCATGTTTCACCCAATCAATATCTACGTATTTATCTGCTGTTTAATTTAATTACCTTTTGCTAATCATTTTAAATATATACATACAGTTACGTAAAGTTCGTGATATAATTTTTTTTATTATTTTGAAAATGCTTTCGTTGGATTCATTAACAAACCTTCCCTTTGAAACCAAATGGTATCACTTGGTAGATCGGGACTTCCATTCTTATTGAGAAACATTTCTGCTAATGTGGAAGAAGAGACTTTTGCAAAAATTCCTATGATCCTGCTCAGACATTCACTTTTTGCCGGTGTTGGGAATTTGCCTCTACTGCCCAATGAGGATTTTCTCTTCTCCAGTACCTACAATTTGACGGTTGACTGCACCATTCAAACAGAAGGTAGCTTTGTCCGAAAAAAGTATTTTACGAGGATTATTGTTACATAAATTCATCATGGTTTCACAAAATTGTAGTCTATGTTCCGGATCATTTTCGTTAAGTTCCTGCAATAGTCTAATTTTGTATCGATGGTACTTTTATTTCTTCATGACTTGACTTTCAGCTGCGACTAGGCTAAAAGCACTGTGATGATCTTCTTCCAAACTGAAAACGTTTGACCTTGAAATGAAATATTTTGAGAAAGTTTCAAAATTTCTTCTATAAACACATTTTAATTTTATTAAAACCCTATTAAAAAGTCTTTTAATAAAAACTATGAAACATCAAAACAATATTAAAAATTATAAACTTTCCACTTTTAATAAATAATATCTCCGAAAATATTAGCCCAAAAGGTATATTGCTAAAATCACAATTTCATAATCTATTCGAAAAAATTAGGGGGTACAATTTAAAAAAAGACCGATTACGTCAGAAATCTACAAAAATGGCGGAAAATATGAAAATTGTACCTCAAAATATGCGTAATTGAGAAAAACGCCTAATTTTTCAATGCATTTTTTCCATACTGTATATGTACATATGTACAGTATTGGCCATAATTCTTGGAACCACTGTAAAAAAAATCTGACTCTAAAAGGCCTTTATTATTCTTTATGAAATTTTGGATAAAAATACTTCAACTTATATCTCAGTTTACGTGTTCGAGGGTTATTCGAGAAAATATTTTTAAAGTCCTTTTATTTAATAATAATAATAATAATAATAATAATACTTTATTTATGCTTAAAAACAATACAAAATTGTGTGCACAAGTCGGGAACATAAATTAATAAATATATAATTATCAACTACACTAATTATAAATAAAAGAATAAATACAAGAAAATTCGTTGCATAATAAAAAAGAATACAACAAATATAGACCAGCAAATAAAATAATTAAAAAAAAAATACAATTAAAAAACATTAATAATCAAAACACTACATGGCATCAATACATTACATTACTATCACAATATTCCAAAAACTCTTTCGTGCTATAAAAACAATGCTCTAACAAAAACAATTTCAAAGAAGATTTCAATTTTTTTAGAGAATATTTTTTCCAACTAGGTGGAATCTTGTAAAATATCATCGATTGGTATTTAAAAGACTGCTGCATTTTAGAAAGCCTGCATTGTGGCGTTCAAAAAATACCTTTTAGGGATTTTTTTTAAGTAAATAAAAATATGCTCTAAAAGACCGTATTTTTGTTAGTATACCCTGAAAATTTTGTACAAACCAAATGAACAGTAACGAAGATACAGCTATTCAAAGTCGTCAAAAATGACCACTTTTCAGCTGTATCTTCGTTACTGTTCATTTGATTTGTACAAAATTTTCAGGGTATACTAACAAAAATACGGTCTTTTAGAGCATATTTTTTATTTACTTAAAAAAAATTCCCCAAGAAGATATATCTTGATAAATATCATGATATTTATGCGACCATATTTATTTTTTTTTTAATTTTATTTATCAGCAGGTATAAATGTAAGGAAAACTAGTATTTTTGTTTAAATATTTGCGCAACAGAGACCATTTAAAGAAAAGTGGAGCAACAGGAACATTTAGAAAATCCCTCTAAAAATGAAAATGAAGATTCCGATTCGGATCTGGATCTACCATTAGCCAGACTGATTTCATCCTAAACTTACTCCTTTTATTGATTTTTGTTTTTTATTAAAAATATTATTTTAGGTCTCGTATAAGTAATTTTGAATTTTAAACATATATATTTAATACTCTAAGCAGAAAATAGTTATAATAAAAAAAGAAATAAATATCCAAATTTTGATATTTTGATATATCGGATATATATCGATATATGTATGTATATCAGGTATTTGGATATTTATATAAATATCATGATATTTGCCAGCACTGCTTTATTTCATTTTCGTATCCTATGATATTACTTGGTATTATTATACGTTGACACTGTTTAGTAGGTAATGAGTAGCCGCGCATTGTTTAGTAAACAATTAATATTAATAAACTAATGTTTTATTTATTTATTGTCAAATTTTTCAATTACGATAGCGTAAAAAGTGTTTACAAGCAACTTTTTATATTATAAACTTAAAATGTATTTATGAAATGATATAATAAGTCGTATACGGCTATAATTTGAAATTAAACTGGCGCATCCGCCAAAATTGTAACTTTTCAAGTTGTATTTTTATTTCTATGGTTCAACTTACTTTTTATCTGAGGTTCAGATAATTTTTAAAAAAATTACGAAAAATTATACTATTTTGGTTATTGACCACACCTACCTACATATCAACAAAATATAATTTTTAAACCAGGTTAATTTTACAAAATAACTTCAATGAAATAATATTTTATACATATGTATTTCGGGCTTCATATTTGATGCTCGATAAAAACGCATTGTATGGAAACGAAGTCTGTCAGTTTATTTCCTCTTTTATTATCTTTTTCTCTCTGTCACTCGTAAAACAATTCAGACTTCTCTATTGTGTTCGACGAATAAATAAAACACTATGAGCAGGCGCAATTTTTTTTATACTATATTTAATATATAAATGATAAATGGTATAGTATATTTAATATATAAATGACAAAATTGTTTTTTAAGTAGTTAATAGTTTATTATGTATCATTTTAGACACGAGTTTAATTCAGCGAGCAAGTTTGCGAGCGAATGATTAATTATATGAGTGTCTAGAAAAGTTTATAAAGAGTTGCATACTTTACTTTTTCTACGACAAATACTTATTATTATCTAAAAATGATTTAAATTAAATATTTGTAAAAAGCGACATCTATAAAACAATAGAGTAACTAACTTGGTTATGTGAAATAATGAAATTAAAATGTCAGTACAAAGTTCATATAAAATTGGCGTTGAGAAACTGTTAAATACGTTTGTATTTTTGTTTTAAGATAGGAAATTATATAATTTTTGCAGTTAATATTATTTTACAAGAAGGCACTTTATTTTAATTATTGTATGACATTTGACAACTGTCAACTAACTTAAAACTAACTTCAGCCCCTGAATAAAAACCTGTTGCTTACTTCAGCCCGTGACTAAAGCGCCATAAGACACAACTTGTGAATGTGTATTTAAAAGGTCACTTAGTATGTAAACATGTACGATAATGAGCGTTTTAAAGGTGGAAGTAGAAAAATTACATTTTTTGACTTTTATTCATTATTTACGAATCAATTTTAAATTTTCTATAAAATTATTCATTCTTGCATGAAATTGTTGTTTTAGCTTGGGCATTGTAAAAAAGCGTTTTAAAAATTATTCTGATGAAAAATAAATTAAAAGGTAACCAGCTTTTCAACTTATTTTCCGCAATGCAGGTTATTAAATTGTTCAGTGCATTAACCAGAAGAAAGATCAAAATAGAAAAAGTCTAAAAAGGGCTCTTGAATATTGAGCATCAAATTAGGGAAATAAGATAAAAACCGGCTATGAGGATAAATAAATCAAAGTTTACAGATTTATTTGCGAGCAAAGATCTTTTGTTAGCTTCTTACATTTCTATTCAATTATTCAAATTGTGATTTTTAAAACATTTATAAATATTTTCCTTAAAGTTAATTTTGTTCTTAAATTTTTTTATAAATATCATCAGTGAGTTCCCTTGACAAATACTATAAATCTTATAAAGTATTATATCATTATCCTTAATAAAAATTAAATGTTAAATATGTAGAAGCAACAAACAAAAACAACACAATTAAGGGTAATTAATTTTTTTTAATTAAAAACAAACTGTTTTAAAACAAAGTTTCTTTCAAATGTCGGTTGAATCATTAAGACTAAATTTTAATACAAATTTATACATGAATATTTAAATGTTTTAAACAACGCAGTTGATAATAATAATTATTGTTAAAACATATTTTTAATTACTATTGTATTGTATTCTAAAATATTTCCTATTTAACTGAAACCTGAGTGAGACTTGAATTAAATTTTGAATTAATTAGTTTTGTTCTTGTTTACTGTTGCATTAAACCTCAGTAAAATGACATTTCGCAGAATGTACTTTTTCTGCCGCTGACAAGCGGCAGTAAAAGTACTTTTACTGCCGCTCAGAGATAATGCTAAAAGTGCTTTAAAATTAATTAAATAACAGACCCCGGTTTTGGACAATTTATTAATTATTATAAATATTTCAACATGTATTAAATTTTTTTAATTGATACAAAGTATACTTATCCTTTAGGATTAATAA